CTATTTTTTTTCATTTTTTTGAAATAAAAATATTTCTTACTATGTTGCCCTTGGTAGAGTGCCGTAGCATCATAGTTCACAGCAACCTCAAACTTTTGGGCTGAAGCAATACTTTTGTCTCAGCCTCCCAAATAGCTGGGACCACAGGTGCCCACCACAATGCCTGGCTATTTTTTGTGGCAGTTATCATGGTTGTTTAGCTGGCCCAGGCTGGTTTCGAACCCACCAGCCTTGGTATATGTGGCCGGCGCAGTAACTACTGTGCTACAGGCACTGAGCCAAGGCTATTTTTAAAAATATCTTTCTCAAATATGGTATGGTAAAAGAAAAACTAAGAACCGGCAACAACCTAAAATAATCTGGAATACCAGAAATGAGAGGTCCTATACCAGTGACAAGTTGACAGGATAGTGAGTGAGGTTACCGTGTTCCCCCCAAAATAAGACCTACCCAAAAAATAAGCCCTAGCAGGATTTCTATGCATTTGTTAAATATAAGCCCTACCCCCGATAATAAGACCTAGTGATGAGTAGGTCGCGCCCTGCATTTTGGGGGGGGGCGGAGAGGTAAGGAAGACTCGAATACCTTTTATCTGCCACAGCTCCTTTCTCCTAGCCGATTGCACTTGTGTGGGTGTGTGGGTGGTAACCGCAGTTGCAGGTATCCTATTGCACATGTGCTAAAGGCCAGGGGAAAGGAGTTCACGCATCACTAGCACCAGCCCCACCAACAAGGTCAGCTCCCCTTGTCAGGTTCCAGAAGAAGATGACTTAACTATATTTGAATAAATGTGGATCGTTGTATTATACTTAATGAAAATAAGACATCCCCTGAAAATAAGCCCTAGTGTGTCTTCTTGAGAAAAAATAAATATAAGACAGTGTCTTATTTTCGGGGAAACATGGTCAGAGCCAGAGACAAAGAAAAGATGGGTGTATCTTTTACATGGGGCATGAGCACAATGATGTCTTCTATGGTCAGCAGGCCTATCATTTCCAAAATGATTCTAAACATTTACACTATACACAATGGAAAATGACCAAATAAACTACTAGAAAAATATTATCTTTATTTAAAAAAATACAAAGGGTGGTAGTGCCTGTGGCTCAAAGGAGTACAGCACCGGCCCCATATACTGCAGGTGGTGGGTTCAAACCTGGCCCTAGTCATTTCCAAACCAGAGCTACAGATGGAGATTTCTATCTGTAAGTGTCTAACCCTATAGTTGCACAGTCCCTACCCTCCATTTCCAGAGGATTTCTGATCTAAGTTGTCCATTTATGTCATTGGACAAATACTACTCCATAGATTATCCTAAAGCCCTATTTTATTTTAATAATATCTCAAATTTTGAGTCAATATTTTTATCTTAAAAAAAAAAAAAGACCGAATTTTTCTCTAAAAATATGGCTTACTCGCTCGGCACCCATAGCACAGTGGTTATGGCGCCAGCCACATACACCAAGGCTGGTGGGTTCAAACCTGGCTGGGCCACCTAAAGCAACGATAACAACTGCAACAACAACAACAAAAAATAGCTGGGTGTTATGGTGGACGCCTGTAGTCCCAGCTACTTGGGAGGCTGAGACAAGAGAATTGCTTGAGCCCAAGAGTTTGAGGTTGCTGTGAGCTATGATGCCACAGCACTCTACCAAGTGAGACTCTGTTGTCAATAAAAAGAAAAAAAAGAGGCTTACTTCTGTTTTTAAAGCAAAGTCTCCACAGCAACAAAATTGGAAATTCTAAATTCCTTTGGAAGAGCAATTGATAGAAGCATGTTTCCCCATAGCACTGAGTCACAATACTGCACATGGCAGACAGACAATAAATAAGGTCTCAATGTTGACAACACAGGACAAAGTAAGTTTCCCCTGAGGGATATGTAGATCCAGTCTACAAATTCAAATCATATATCCCTGTACCTAAAGACTGTACTGGGTATAGTCAAGAATTGGCTTTGTGGAAGTACATATGAGAACTGAAACTTTAAACTAATCATATTTTCACAACAAATAAATGATATTACATCCTTTCCTCTCTGGTTGTTTGGATTGAATAGCTCCATTTTATTTTTTAAGCTATGATATTCTACTTTTCATTTGTTCATTTTTATTCCCTCCTCATTTCCTCCTTGAAAGTGCTAATTTATTCTTTATTTTGAAAAATAAAATTAACATAGTTTTCAGGTTTAAGGACAATTTCTCCATACCCCCTTTGGGTTGTTATGAAGCCAGGGTGGGCTATATGCCATGGAGCCAAGGGCCCTTATTGTGACTTGCTACATAAAACTCTTCTATTGGTAACAGCATAGTTGAAAAACAGGTCTGTCCTGCAGCTGTCCTGATCCCATTTTCCCCTCTAACAGAAGAAGCAGCTTTCTGCCTCCCTGTTCCTTCAGCTGCCACTCCATGCGGCTTGCCTCTCCCTTCTCACCCTGTGCCCACATCTGCTGTTTACACTGCAGTAGAGGTGCAGGTGGTTATTGGAAAACCATTCTTGCTCCATCTGCATCTGAAACACAGACAGGCTAGAAGGGGGCAGATTATGAAACTGCATTGTCACCATAGAACAAAGACCAGAATTTTCTGTGTATTTTTTTACTAAGATGACTTCCAATAACAAATTCTATGGAAGGGTTGGGAATTCAGGGGATAAAAGATTCCAATGCATCCCATCCATAAAGAAGCAAATGCCAAGATCTTGGGTCTTACATCCAACCCTCCTCACGAAGACATGATTAGACCATTTGTTATCTCTCTTGGATTCAGAAATCCCTGATATCCCCTAAAAGTCTACTATGGTCTAGTCTTTGCTGGCAGACTTGCTTTCTTCATCCCCAGCAGAAGCTGCAACATACTACCCACCAACACTCATTGGGCAGTGAGGCACTGAACTATCCGATTGCAAAGAGATTTCAACATCTCTTTACTCCTCCTACATGCCACAGTGAACCACATTCTCCTTTCTTTGAAGTAAACACTGTAGTCACCTCAGCTGCAGCCAAGTTTGTTAACAAGCCCTCAGGGCATACCATTACCCTTGCTGCCTATAGAAATAAGCTTCAGTTCTTACAGCAAAGAGAGCCAGAATGTGCCTCATATTTTCCACTATGTTCAGGACACTCACACTTCACTGGAATATCTAAGGTGCTGGATGGAATTTTGAATGAAATCACGTTGTGCTGGTCCTTATTGAGAGCCTGTTTGGCCCCAAGTTAAAGTAAGGGGTTCTTGCTCTGTCTTTCAGGAAGTTTATCTGGGTGTCCTCTTTCAAAGGGAGGAGTGGAATTGAACCAAAGCTTAAGCAACCAAATAAAATTTCCATGTTACTGAAAAGCAGCATGGCTCAATGGGCTAAGAAAAATGTTTCAATCCCAGGTCACTCAGGAACTTGCTGGGTAACTCTTGAGAGAACAGGCATATGTGCGTGTTTTTGTGTGTGTGTGTGTTTCCCTTTTCAATTCCTCACCAGTCTCTTTAGTTTCCAAGACCTTAATGAGACTACCTCTCCCTATCTGGTCTTCTAATCTTCTAACTATAATCAATTCTGAATAGGCAAACCTTAAAATGTAACTTAAATGGGGCAACGCCTGTGACTCAGTGGGTAGGGTGCCAGTCCCATATACCAAGAGTGGGGGGTTCAAACCTGGCCCCGGCCAAACTGCAACAAAAAAATAGCCAGGCATTGTGGCCAGTGCCTGTAGTCCCAGCTACTTGGGAGGCTGAGGCAAAATAATCGTCTAAGCTCAGGAGTTGGAGATTGCTGTGAGCTGTGTGATGCCATGGCACTCTACCTAGGGCGATAAAGTGAGACTGTCTCTACAAAAAAAATAAGAAAAGAAATCAATAAATAAAATGTAATTTAAATGATTACTGTAATTCCTGAAGTGCTAAGTATAGGCTGGACACTCTGATAGAGTTTTAAATGCATCATCTCATATACATGATCTGTGTAATGAGTACTATCTTCACTATTACAAAGAGGAAACCAATTAAGTTTCCTCAGGAATTAAGTTTCTCAAGGTCAAATGATTAATAAGTAGTAGAGCTAGGATTCAAACCCGAATCCATATGACCTTAGAACCTTCTTCTCAACCACCATACTAGATAGCCTCATACAGTAAACTATTTGCCCACAAACCCATCATGGCTCTCTCGTATCTACCACAACCAATCTAAACTTTAGCTAATTTTATATTTTAGGGGAAGTGATTTCCCCCTCTCTGAATTTCTACAATGTTCAGTCTCTACTACAAAATTCAGTAGTGAATTAAACTCCAAAGTACTATCATTTGTTAAGTGTTTTACTTAAATCAGCCTCCCCAATGAGAGTATCATTTCTTTGAAGGCAGAGATTGTGTTATGTTTCTCTATTTACAGACTAACTCAGTAAAGGGCTGGAATGTCTTAAATGACTATCTGGAACTAACAGCTGCTACACGTTGTGAGAATAGCAGCCCTTATTATATGGCAGGCACTGCCCTGAGGATCTCACATGCAGTAACTTAGTACACGCTCTTGACCTGCCTATAAGGCACTATTATCACCCCCAATTTACAGAAGGAGCCTGAGCACTGAGAGTTCAAATCAACTCCCCAAGGCCAAACAGCTTAGTAAATGACAGAGCTGGGCTTCAAACTCAGGTAGTGTGGTTTCAAAGATCACATTCTTAACTGTTAATTAAAATGCCTGACTTCACTGCAATAAAATTGTTTCAGGAATGATAAAAGGATTAATAATATGAGAATGATCTTTCCTGTCAATAGCCAATAGAAGGCACCAAGCAGGAAACAATATCATTTAGTTTTGGAAACTACCTCTAACTGGAATATTCTACCCTGCAGCACCCTTCCTAAATATACCTGAAGGAAAAAAGCTCAATTTTTCTTATGGGCTGAGAGTGTTAAGTTCCAACTGCCAATTGTAACAACTGAGATATGACACTCACAACCACAAGGACAGATTTATAATCCTCATTTATTTCCCCACCCCTGCCACCACCTGTTAAGCGCCATGGTGACTGTAGCTCCCTGTTGCATCTCCTGAGAAGCTGCCACTGCGGCCTCTGCCAATGATGCCACTGCCTGGGTGGCCTCTGATGCTTGCGTTGTCTGGATAGTCATCTCACCTCCCTGTAACGTGGCCCAATTTTGTTCCACCTGGAGCAGAAAGAGTAAGATAGTAAAAAATTAAAACTGTAAAAGATTTATAATTGGGCAGCGCCTGTGGCTCAGTGAGTAGGGTGCCGGCCCCATATATCAAGGGTGGTAGGTTCAAACCCAGCCCGGCCAAACTGCAACAACAACAACAAAAATATCCAGGTGTTGCAGCGGGCCCCTTATAGTCCCAGCTACTCAGGAGGCTGAGGCAAGAGAATCACCTAAGCCCAAGAGCTGCAGATTGCCGTGAACTATGATGTCACAGCACTCTACCAAGGGCAACAAAATGAGACTGTCTCTTAAAAAAAAAAAAAAAAGATTTATAATTTTACTTTATTTTATTTTACTTTTGAGACAGAGCCTCAAGCTTTCGCCCTGGGTAGAGTGCTGTGGCACCACAGCTCACAGCAACCTCTAACTCCTGGGCTCAAGCGATTCTCCTGCCTCCACCTCCCAAGTAGCTGGGACTACAGGTGCCCACCACAAAGCCCAGCTATTTTTTGGTTGCAGTCATCATTGTTGTTTGGCGGGCCCAGGCTGGATTCGAACCCACCAGCTCAGGAGTATGTGGCTGGCACCTTAGCTGCTTAAGCCACAGGTACCTAGCCAAGATTTATAATTTTAAAAAGTAATTTTTTCAAATGAATTGCTACATTTTTAGCCAAATCCACATACACTTCCAAATGAACATGACCTACAATGTACAGAACAGGAACTTTAGTATGCTATCTTCTGTACAAAAAGGGGGATATTAGAATATATATTTGAATTTGCTTACATTTACATAGAGAAAATCTGGAAGGACACACCAAAGAAACCACTGAAAATATTTTCTTCACTATATGTGGGAAAAGTTAGGAAGCTGGAAATAGGCTGCACAGGAGACAGAAAGAAAGACTTTCCACTGTATATTTATAAATATTTACCTCAATTTAACCATTTTGCAGTGTATACACATCTCAAAACAACACGCTGTACATGATAAATATATATAATTTTTGTTCATTTAAATTAATGAATATGCATAATGCAATGGTACATTTCAAAACTATTAAGAAATGAGTATAATTGTGATGGATGTGTTACTTAGTTCAATGTAAGCATTTTACATTGTATATCAAAGCAGTACCCTGAACCCCATAATGCATCAATGTACAAAGTTATGATTTAATAAAAAAAAA